AGCTGGGTGTGATGACACACACCTGTCATCCTGGTGCCTCAGGAGGCCGAGGCAGGAGGAGTGCAAGTTCAAGGCCAACCTGGGCAACTTGGTGAGGCGGTGTCACAAAATAAAATATAAAAGGGGCTGGGAGTATAGCAAGTGGCCAATAAATATATAAAAAAATTCTCAACATGTGTAGCCATCAGAGAAATGCAAATTAAAATTTTATTTTATCTCACTTCAGGTACAATGGCTATCATTAAAAAAAAATGCCAACTAGGAACACTTATATAGTGTTAATAGAGTGTAAAATTAGTACAGTATGGAAGTTCCACAAAAAAACTAAAAATATCACATGATCCAGTTATCCCACTCCTGGGTTTATATTGGCAGGAAAAGAAGTCAAAATACAAGAGACACCTGTGCCCGTATTTACGGGAACCTGTATCCACTATTCACAACAGCCAAGATGTGGAATTGCCTAGGTGCTGCCCCCAGAGGGATGGGTAAAGAAAACATGGTAAATAGACACAATCAAGTATTTGTCCAGCCACGAAGAAGAATGGAAGCCTATCATTTGCAGGAAACTGGACAGAACTGGAAACAAGTCGGTGCAGAAAGACAAGTGTCTCACGTTTTCTCTTTTGTGCAGAACCAAAAAATACAGGTGACCTGCAAGTTGGACTACTGAGACAAGGCAGGGGTGGGGGAAAGGGAGGGTGTGAGAGGGTAGGGTGATGGTCATGACCAAGGCATGATCAATGCTCCTTGCAAAGGTCACCTTGAAACTCATTAATTCGAATAGTTCATGGATATTAACTTAAAAAACTCTGCTGGGGGGCGGGGGCATAGCTCAGTGGTGGGGCCCGTGCTAGCTCATGCAAGGCCCCAGGTTGCATCCCCAGCACCACCACATATAAAAATTCTGTCGGGAAGATGGACAGTTGACCATACATTTCTACGTAGAGAAAACCAAGCAAATGAAAAAACACACGCACTTTCTTTTAACTTTAAGGAATACAAAAGTTGCGTAAGAAAGAAAGGAATGCTATACACTGCAATACCCTGCTCCCCCAGGAATCACACTCACAGCGAGGGCCACCCCAGTGGAGGTAGCCGCGGGACACAAGAAAGCAGGGCCAGGAGCTCACTGGGCACTCACCTGGAGTTCCACTCTGCCCCACAAAAGAGGAGGAAAGAAACCAGCAGCTGAGGAGGACAAAGGCAGGAAAATCTCAAGTTCAAAGCCACCTCAGCAACTCAGCAAGGCCCTAAGCAACTCAGCAAGACACTGTCTCTAAACACAAAAAAGGCTGGGGTCCTGGCCCAGTGGTGAAGCACCCCAGGTTCAATCCCCAGCACCAAAAAAGAAAGAAAAAAAAGAAAATGTCAGTGGGCTTGGCCAAGCCCCTCCAGGTATCAGGACAATGGCCTTGGGAAATGCAACCTGCTAAGGGGTGAGGCCACCAGGGAAGTCGGGAATCCCACACCATGGGTATTGTTCTCCTGCTGTGCTCTGCCTTTTCCAAGTGCCAATGCTCATCTCTGAATGCTCACCTCGGACGGATGGGCACAGATCAGCTGCTCTGACAGCTGCACCAACCTCGCCTCTTTCCACAGTGACCTCCCACCTACCCTGGCAGGGGCAGCTTTGGCCAGGCACGCTTGCTGTGGTTGGTAGGGTCTGTCTGTGGGGTGTACAGCCACACCTGTACTTCCCGTTAGCCATCCTCTACAGGAGTGGTGTCCAAAACGCCTGTCCTATCTTCCACTGGACTGACCTGGCTCTTCTGGGGTCCTGCCTGGTGCTGTCAGCACCACCAGGCAGGACCCCAGAAGAGCACGCGAGCCCATGTGTGGCCACTGGCGATGGAGTGTGGAGACTGCAGGGGAAATGAGGCTTCCACTGCAAGACCCAGGCGCAAGTCTGTGGAAGAGTCTTCCATGTCTTACACTAGCATATAAAATGTTAACACAGAAAAGAAAATTGGCAGAAAGTTCTCAATTTGATGACAACCTTAAACACATATTTGTTTACCAGTAATGACTTTTGCAGACTATTGGTAATAAATTTCCATCAGCCATGCTACAGGAAAGGCTGAGTTTACCTTTCTACTCCCTCCATAGAAAATACAGTAAGGACAGCCAGGAGCCATGGTACACATCTAGAATCCGAACAACCCTGGAAGCTGAGACAGGAGGATCACAAGTTGGAGGCCAACCTTGAAAACTTAGTCTCAAAGGAAAAAGGGCTAGGGACATAGCTCAGGAGGAGAGTGTCCCTTGGCTCAATCCTCAGTAGAAAAGAAGGAAGGAAGGAAATACAAGGGCTGGGGTGTAACTCAGTAGTACAGTGCTTGCCTAGCATGCTCTAAGTACTGGGTTCCATCCTCAACACCACAAAAGAAAATGGAAAAGAAATCATAGTCATTCAAAGATGCAAAGAATATGAAGCCAAAAAGAAGATGAAAAACATAGAATAACGAGAAGCAGCAAACAAATTGTTCTTTTTTTATGTTTTGACACATTGGCAGAATTTGTTAATCTTAAAATGCATAGTTGTGACTGCTGATTTTTTGTTTGTTTGGTTGTTATTGTTTTGGGGTACTGGGGATTGAACTCAGGGGCACTTTACCACTGAGCCACATTCCTGGTCCTTTTTATTTTTTAATTTGAAACAGGGTCTCACTAAGTTGCTGCCACTGGCCTCAAATTTGTGATCTTCCTACCTCAGCTTCCCGAGTGTTTGGGATGCTAAGCATGGGCCACCACTTGTGACTGTTCATATTCTAAATAAATGACTTTTGTATCTAAATTGGAATTTGTAAATTAGTATTTTCTTAAAGAGGGCCCCCTAAGTTGCCTAAGCTTCAAGCCTAAAGAAACCTGACACCACCACCCCCAGGAGAATTAAAAAAACATAAAGTACATTGCATGTGATAAAGACTCAAGTTAGTGACTGTTGCTTTTTGAACCAGCAGTGGGGTGGGTGGAGGCTGTGGCCAACCAGCCAGGAAGAGGTTCCTGCAAAGGCATAAAGGCTGGGACTGGAGGGGCAGGGTGGCTCCCAGAGCTGCTGAAGGAAAGGGAGGTGGAAAACCAGGGAGGAGGGCAGGGAAGCTGAGAGAACAGGGGCAGGGGATGGGGTAGAGAGAGGTCTGGCAGATTCCCAGGGTGCCTTGGCTGGAACCAGCCTCCACTGACCAGAAGCAACAAAGCCCACCTCTTGGGAGGTTGTCTCTCTGCTCCCCTACCTTTTGGCATCAGACTCTTGGCCTCAGAAGAAGCCCCTAACAGGACAGCAGGGTGCTGGGTACAGGTGAGAGGGTGGGCAGTGGGGCCTGCTCTCCTTCCTCCCTGGGCGGTCTGTTGGAAGGCTGTGTCTCCAGCCAGCACCCAGATCACTACAGGAGTGTGAGTTAAAGACCCTCGTTCTCTGCACCGGTTATGATGACCTTGTGTGGCCATGTCTGGCCCTGTCAGACTATTCTCTCACCCGCTGCCAGCCAGGCGGGCAGCATCAGCATAATGCCCACAAGGAGGCCCAGAGTTCAGGGTTTCCTGACCAGACTCCTAATGGCAGCATCTTTATCCCCCATCCTTGTTTTTTTAAAGCTTCTTTGTTGTGTTGGCATGCTGTAAAAACATAAATGACCTTTTAAATAAGTTAAAATTCACAAGACCGTGAAGAACTGGCCTGTGATACTGCAAGCTCTATAGAAACATTTGTAATTTTTTTTTTTTAATTAAGACTTCTGTTCTTCAAAATCTAAATTTGAAACCTGTAACAACTCACCAGCTCACACTACAGTGACTGAATCCTAAACTGTCATCCCCTCAAAGCCCCAAGGAAGCCAAGTTTTATAATAAAATCCTAAAGTTCCTAACTATTCTGAGGATGCTGGAACTGGAAGCAAAGTGAGGCTGGGGGAAGGAGGGCGGGCCAGCTCTGGCTTGCAGACACAAGTGGATCTGCTTTCCAAGAAGAATGTTTGCCCTGAAGCTCTGGCTTTACCGCCTGTGCAGCTGGGACTGGGGTCCCCCCTTCTCCTGTAGGATGGTTAGCAAAGTGAAACGCTTTTTAACTCCAGCATCTTTAGAGCATTTTCGGACTTTTAGAACGAAAAGAAAAATGCCTTTTCTTTGGAAGGCCAATCTGCCCACACCCCTCCTCCGAGCCCAAGCACAGACCTTAACAAGCTGAACTTGGGATAAGGCTTTTTCCTACTCAAATTAGGCCCAGCGGGAGGCCCCCTTATCCCTGCCACACTGCCTGCGCTCCCTACTACGTGCGGCTGCACTGCAGGAACCGGGAACCACGCAGGAAACGAATACGAAAATGCACAGGAGAAAGGAGAGAAGCTCCGCTCCTGTTTTAAATCCTCGTGGCTGGGTTTCTTCAGTCCTATGGCTTCGTTTTCATCCTTTCGGCAGCCTAACAAGTTCCTCCTGAAGGCTGAGTCTGGGCCAATCATTGCGTGAAACCACTTTCAGTTTGTGGGAGCAAGTTTGGACCCGGATGCCTGGAGAAAGACAACCCAGCACCAGCCCCGCCAGCTCTGCCAGCGCCTGGGGCTTAAAGCTGGGGTAACCTCGACCTGGCCACTGGATCAATTCAAAGGTCCTTAAAACAGCAGCTGCGGTCTTGTAGCCTTGGCAAAGTGACTCTCCCGAACGCCAAGGTCAAGCACGCTGCAGCTACCATCCAACTGGCAAAGGAGAGGGGACGCCCCCGCCCCACGCACCCGCTAGGTCCTCACTGCCACGGGCTGCTGGGTGGAGAAGGGGCAGGGAAGGAGGTGTCCCCGGAGCAAACACAAAGAACTCGCTCCCCCCATCACGACCCAGCACTTCGTCCGGCGCGGCGCGCACAGCTGCGCACAGGACCCCAGCGCACGTCTCGCTCCGGGAGCCGGGCCCTCGCCCCGCGGGACTTCTGCGGGACGCCCAGAGCTCCGAGTGGGGGTGACGCTGCCGCGCGCCCTCCTGGTCCGCCTGCCCGCGGCCACCGCGCTCACCTGTCCCGCCTGCAGCGCCAGCTGCACGGCCGCCTCGAAGCACTCTTCCCAGGGGCCCCCAGCGAGCGCCGCCTCGTCCTCGCCGCCCGGCTTCATCACGGCCTCGCCGGGTCCCGCCACCTCCGGCCGTCCTCCAGGTTCCAAGACGGACCCCGGCTCCCGCCGCCCGGACGCCAGGCTCCGCACGCCCTCCTC